TTCCAATTTCTCCACAGCCCCTTCAACACTTGTTATTTTCCTTTTTTTTTTTAATCTTGGTCATCATAGTGTGAGTGAAAGGGTATCTCATTTTGGGTTTGATTTTCATTTTTCTGATGACTAATGATGTAGATCATCTTTTCATGTGTCTGTTGGCTGTTTGAATATCCTCTTTGGTTAAACAATATATTTGTATATGGAGTATGTCCTTAGCACACTAATGTGGTGAAAAAAATTTTACAATATATAAAATATGAATTTAGTAACGTGAAGGTATATATACTAAACATGTAAGTTAATGAAGCCAGGGCCCAGACACTCTAACCCCTATGTCTGGCACTACCACTGCACCTGCCAAGACTTTCACCCCAGTCCATTCAAATGTCAACAGCTCAGAAAGCTTGTTTTGTAGCTGTAGGAAAATCAAAGACTTGGGAGCTGGAATAGAAGTGAGAAGAGAAGGATGGTTGGGATGGAATCAAATTTGTTTTCATCTAAACTCATAGAATTAATCTATTTTTGATAAATGAAAGTAGAATGAAGACCCAAACCATCAATATAGTTGTTCTTTTTTTTTAAAAATAAAAAATTCTAAGGTTGCAAAAGACATTGTTTTAATTAATATATATTAATTAGCAATATTAGTAAAAATCCAAAACACTGGATAAAATATATCAAATATGTTAAATAAAAACATAGGCAAATATTAACAATAGCCTTATCTGTGTGGTAACATTATGAGACTATTTTATATCATTTATAATATTCTATATTTACAGTATGCAGCATTGAAAATTTGATTAAAAGTTATACAGCTAAGTACCTATTAAGAAAGTGCAAATGAGGGCCTTCAGATTCCAGTAGGATAATGGTAACTACCTAAATTTGACTATCTCCTTGCATCCGCCAAAAACTATTTCAGAAGAAGAGAATAAAACCATTTCCTATGTCTACAGCAAACTTAGGAGACAGACAACATTACTCACTACAAGTTACATGTAATGAGAAAAATAAACATTTGAAATCAGCTCCAAAGCCCATCCCAGAGCCTAATTCTGTCTCCCAGTCAACTTCAGTAGTCAACTTCAGTAACACACTTAAGTACTATTATCTCTATATTACAGATGAGGAAACTAAGGCAAAGAAAAGTTGAGTATGTAGGAAAATCAGAGCATACAATGAATATAATTCCCACTAGCAGAAGTAAAACACTTTATTAAATTTGATTCTAGTACAATCCTTTCTAAAAAAAAGTGATAAAAATAGAAATGTCTATTAAAAATTGAAGAATTTCAA